CGTTTTCCTGGTTGCATTTGCACCGGCAGCAGGAACTCTGAAGCGGCCGACAGCGACGTCTTAATGCACGCCATTTACGAACGTCAACAACCGGTGAATGGAAGACGCCGTGATCGGAGCTGTTTTTGTTGTGTGTCATGGGTTTCGTGATAATGGAGATGGAATGTAAATGCACAATTTACGCGATTGCAAGAGCAAAAAGTTGGGCTAAGAGACTAAACAAATAATAAAAAAAGAGACTAATCATACGGAATGATTTTTTTTGAGATTGTAAAAATGCAGAAAGTTTTCTGTGAGGGGTAGGTTTAGGGGTAGGGTTGGTGTAGGGCAATAGAAAATACAGTTTGTACAGTATAAAAACCATTACACCTATGGGGAGTCCCTACAAGGATAGTGAACCAGACGTGTGTATGTGTGTGTGTGTGTGTGTGTGTGCACGCACGCAAGTCATAATGTATTTTTGTCATGTAAATGTTTTGCCATGAGTTAAAATGATGTAATATGCCAAACTCCTTACAATGGATATTGCCATGATATTAATAAATCGTAACTGGACATAGATGATTTTGTTTCATTAACATTAATTTTCCAGTGTTTGTAATAAGTTACTCAAATAGTTTAAATTATCTGTGCATATAAAGAGGTTTTATTTTGTAGTAAAAGTCAAGAATCACATGCCTTTCCACAAGCAGAATGTTTTTGGATTTTTTTTCTCCTTTAACTTTGCATCAGCCTCTATACCATTTACTTTCTGAAACAAGCATCAATAACTTGAAATATATATGTATGTTCATGTGCTAAATACCATTAAAAATATATATAAATACCATTATCATTATTATATCGGATTAAATCATAATAACTGGATTCTTTAAATGTTGTGTTACGACACTAGATGGTGCTCTAATACAGAATATGCATACTGTTTGTAGTATACACTTTTAATATAAATAGAATATCAGACCATTTATAAAAAGGACACTGTGCGTGTTGCTGTTCTTGCAAAAATAAAATGTAAGAATAATAAATAGGGAAACCGGCATCAATGACTGATTCAAAAGCATTTGTATGGTTGAGGAGACTTGTGCTGTTATTTTAAGTGACCAGACTTATGATTTCACCTGCTGGATGATGGGGAAGTCGTGGCCTAATGGTTAGAGAGTCGGGCTCGTAACCCAAAGATTGTGGGTTCGAGTCTCGTACCGTGAATCAGGTGAAAAGTCCCTCGAGAGCACATTAAAGGAGAGACCCAAGCCATATACAAGCCACAATATCACAGGGATGTGGGCTTTAGACCAGTAACCACATATGTTCTAAAAAGGTGCTAATATCCACCAGAACATATAACCTCATATTTGCAAACTTTAGGCCTATTCATTTATTAAGCAAAGTCTTTTCCCTATTAATTAAATGAAAAAAAAAAAAAAAAAAAGGGTCCCTGTTTGGTTAGTTGAAGTACTAAAATTACTAAAACTGAAATAAAGCTAAATAGAAATGTATAAAAACGAATAAATAAAAATGACATAAGCACATAACAAAATCACTAAAACCTAAACTAAAATAAACAATTTGGTCATCCTCAGGTGGCAGACGGTTCTAGAGCTGGAACTTAAGGTGAGATATTTTGTGCATATTTTCTCTGATCTTGATTTTGGATTTTAAACCAGGATTTTAAAAACTGGCTGTTGTTAGCTGTTGAACAATTCACCAAAACACATATGCTCATGTTGGATTCATCAGACAGAATTCTTGAGTCAAGTCCTATGTATATCTCTGATTTTAGGGGCCTGTGCGATGTATTTATTGTTTAATGAAATACCAAAAGGTCAATGTTTATCTGGTTAACATGACCAGTTAACCCCTGCTATTATATGTTGTAACTAGGGATGTAACGATGCACCGCGAGCCAGTTGAAAATCAATACAAATATGTGACGATACAAATAGGTTGAGATAATAAATGAATCGCGATACAGTTCGGGGTAGGAGTTAATATGAACG